CTCATTTTTTTTGTGTCTACTAAAGCCATAGACTCCTACACCTCACTCCTGACAAATCACACAATTTAAAACTGTACCTATTTGGGAAGATTTACTTTTTCCTGATATATCTGGATACTGTAATGGTGCAAGTTGCTACTTCAGCAATCTGAGTTTCATATTGTACAGCAAGACAACTCCATTGGTACTAAAGCTCTTTGTGTTCAGACACCTGTCAAGGGAATTCTTCCCTTCTCATACCTTACCTGTGTGTGATCACTCTTACAAATTCATTTCACATCACTTTTGGTTTTGAGTTTTATACCTTACTGATGTTTTTGTGGATGTTTCCTCACAAATTTATTGATCACGAAGGTTTCAAAATGATACAAATGACTGTTTTGAAAAAGTTTTTAAAATACTTCCTTCAAAATAAGTAATAGCAAGTATGTTTTCCTCGTGGATTTAAACATTTAGAAGTGTCACAAATAACAAACTGAATGCACACCACTTGTTTCTTTATGATGAACTCAGTGAGACCATGAAGATCAGTGTTCTGCAAGAAACTTCTCCCAGATTATATTGAAAATGTGACACCAAATATGATTTTGAAATACTTTTCATTTAAAATGAAACTCTCTGCAGGGATACAAGGTGATAGTCTTGCACTTAGAGGAGAGCATGAGAGAATAATTTAGTAATAGTTTGAGAAAACTTTATGCATGGGTACTGCTTGGCAGAGTTTGTGAAGATTAAATCTTTTTAATGTCTGTGTTACACTGGGTTCAGTAATATAGAAATATTGAATGTAATTGACTTTTTAATTAGATGACTTGTGTGTATCACAGTTATTCCCACAAATATTTCATGATAACAAGCCCCAAAGTTCTTCACAGTGCCCTGGTCAGTTCTAAAATAGAAATTGATAAATAAAAATATACCAAAAGATTTTGAACATTACAGTTCTTCAGGCTTTGTAGTATTTTTGGTCTTATTGTGGTCAATTTTTGCCACTTTTTTTTTTCCTCAGTGAAAATTTTGTTGTTAGACCTTGTCCAGCTTGTAACTGTGAAGTAATGAATTGATCCTCTGGAATTTGGAGTTCTGGGGTGATAGGTGTACCAAGGTTGATTATTGCACTAAAATATCTTCCATCCTCAACTGAAGCTGCAAAGGACAGAGGAGGCTTTACATTTCTTAAACTTAAGCCAAACCAGAAACAGGAAAATGCTGTGATTTGAGTCAGCAGGGAACATACTTGGGATTCAAATACAAATATAGGAAAACAATAAATCTGTTGAGTGTGTAATACAAGAAAGTCTTTCCTTGTGTTTGTATTGAACAAATACATCAAAGTGCTCTTTAAAGATTACTGATTTAAACAGCAGTGGTAGGTAGGGGACTGTAAGCTTGGTAAGTCTTAGACTTTTTAATTTATTTCAACTACCACTGTTGCTCAAGGAGGTTAATTACAACACATGCTGTAATGGTCAGAACCATAGATCTGCATATTTAATGTTCTGAAGTGAGAAATGATTATGCATTTGACATAATTTTAAAAAAAGTTTTCTTGAAACATTCATGAAAACCTGTGTTAGCCAGTGTGGTGGATTTAAAGATGTAAAATCCATTCATCTATTACAACATAATAAAAAAAGGCACTTTCAATCAGGTTTAATAAATGAAGTCTTGTCTTTGACCTTAGAGACTCAGCAGAAGGTGGAAATAGTCCAGACTGAAAGATGGGAGGATGGCTTTGGGCTGGTGCTGCAGGTCACCACCAGTGAGGGCCATGGGTGGAGATCCTGAGTTCCAGTCAGACCTTGGAATCCAGTATTTACTTGGAATCCAGCTTTTACTTGGAATCCAGTATTTACTTGGAATCCAGCTTTTACTTGGAATCCAGTATTTACTTTCTTCCAGTGAGACATCTTTGAGGAACCTCATAGTAGGGTGACCATCAGGCACCTCAGTGTGGTTGGGCCTTGTTCTTGCAGTGGTTTGCAGCTCCCAGACCTGGAGAGGAGACCTTCAGCCCCTTTTTTTAGTGCTGTGGCTGCAGAGCTGCTTGGCAGTGACAGGCAGAGCCCTGCGCTGCTGTTGGGAGCTCTTGTCTTCACAGACCAGGTGTAATGATTGTTAATTCCTGGCTCATTCAACAGCTGACTTTACCTATTCAGATTTTATTTGGTGGGGACAGCAGAGTGTTAAGATCTCATTTCTGCTGAGTCCTAATTTTCATGAGTTCAGTTAAAAGTATCCCTGTGACTCCTCTCTTGGATATCCAGGATCGTATGGTTCCAAGCTAATTATGTTAATCAGTTCTGTTCTCTCTGGATCCCCTAAATGAATATTACTTCAGCTATTAAAAAGTCATCTTAGGGCAGAATTTAGCTATATTATGTTAATATTGTTCAGTATTTCCCTTTATTATTTGGTGAAGTATGCAGATAAAAACCATGGAGAAATGCAAGTTTAAACAGACTGGGAATGGTTGGAAAAGATTCATTTTTTAAAGAAATAATTAAGGTGTAACAATATTAGATTGGCTTGGCTGGGGAAGGAAGGAAAAGATGCATCATTATAAAGGAAAAAGAGAAGGTACAATAAAATAACAGATTCATAGACATTAATTGATTTTATGTCTGATTCTACCTAATAAAAGAAAATCTCTAAGGCCTCTGCCTAGAAAACACTAAATGGAAATATATTTATTTAAAGTACCTTAAGGGGCTTTGAGAGAGTTTGTGTGCCTGCACTGCCTTTGCTTCAGTCCTTGCAGGGTAGATTTTAATATTTACATGTGTGAGTATAGGGGCATAGCTGATGCCATTTTGTTAATGGAGAGGGAGATCTCCAGGAGCTCCTGCCTGTCCAGTGAGTTACAGAGCAGCCCCAGGCCATTCATTTGCCTTCTGTGCTGTTTGCCAGGTGCTCAGCAGTGTCTGGGGGAATAAAAACAGGGGCTGCCTTAATGTGCTGCTGTGGAATGGCAGTGTAGCAGCTCAAAAAAATAATGAGCAGGACATGAGGGCAGCCTTTTCCTGCTCAGGAGGTTCAGCCGTGCCTTCTCTCTGTACACTGATGATAACTCACAAAATTAGCAGAGAGCCATTCCTTAATAAATCACTAGAACTCATTCTTCCTTTGTGAAAGGTAAGATTTGATTAATCTTTCATGTGGTCAGCTTTCCTGCCGGTGTGAGGAGGAGCTGTCAAGTGGTGCCAGTTCAGCAGAGGAGCTGCTGTGAGTCCACAGGGATGCAGAGCTGGCAGATCCTGGCCTTGCAGGAAAAAGAAAAAGAGTTTGTTGTGTGCCCAGCCAGCTGCTGGTGTGACCTCCTAGGGCTGGAAGAATGAGGCTGCTGTGGGAGGCTCATGGAGGGTGGGCAGGGCCTGCAAATGTCACTGAAGAATTGGAAATTTTAAGTGATGTGAGAAGGCCTAGCAGTCTCTGTGCATCAAACCAAACAAGTGGATTGTATTAAATTGAATTTTTTCTTCCCTTTGCTTTTTTCTTTCCACTTCAAATAAGCTTTCTAGAATTTCTAGGTGGTACTTGGCATACAAAGGGCTTGCTTTCAGCTGATTTAGTTATATGAGGACATGCACAATACTATAATTTTGTTAATATTTACAAATAACACTGACTAGAGGTTGTTTCTAGTGTGTTAGATGTTGATCAAGAGTTTTTTTTTATTATGTTGTTATTCAGCAAGAAAACTTTCAGATATTTGTTAAGTGCTTCTAAATGAACAAATTCTGCTTTTTGCAATGCTGCTCAAAAGCAATAGTGTTGGTTTTAAAATCAGTTTCTGAGCTGTGGACTGGAAAATTTGACTTGTGTGTGGTGTGTGTGTTGGCTTGTGTGTGTTGTTAGACTTGTCTGTGAAGGTGTTGATGGGAGCAGGTTTTTCCATTAGATGAAGTGGTTCAAATGCATTTCTTCATTCTGTATTTCTTTATTCAAATATAACTTCTGAATCTGAAACAGCTTCTTATAAATGCAATGAGATTGAAGTCAAGTGTTTTGCATCAGAGTGTTCTTACACTGACAGCAGCCTTCACCAAGGTCACCCTTGCACAGAGTGCATACAGGTCTCAAACACTGGTGGTGAATATCTTCTCTGTAGAAAGCTATAATGATGTGGGTATGAGGTTTTTTTTCATAATATCAAGACTCAGTAGGAACTTTTAAAAGTATTTCACGTGTTTCCTGTGTTTTAGTCCCTTTTAACCATGGTTGTGTTGGGTGTGTTATTTATCTGCCCTCAGGAGCAGAAGGGAGTTGCTTGTTACAACTGAGCTGCTGTGTTTTCAGAAGCTGCAGGGGAAGGCAGGCTCTCTTGGCATCTAGGTGACCAAGTTGCTTTTGAGAGGAAAAACACAAATTTCTTTGCTAAGAAAAACAGAAGTCAGTGGCCTCAGAATGAAATGAAAGGAATGGAAAGTCTGAAGATTTATCAGGTCAAAGCTTTCAATTCCTAAACTGCCTTTTTAGGCTTAGGATAAGAAGTAAAAAGACTTTAATTTTTAATATTTATTAGGTACCTAGTAACAGAACTAATTTCTTGTTCTTCTACTTCCTGTTTGTTACTTAGAGTGAGATTTGTAGTTTTGAGAAAATGTGAGTTAACTCTCCTAAGCCAAGCAAAGTCTCAGTGCCTTTCCTTGAGCACAGTAGTAAAGGAGGAAACTTTTTTTGTTGGTAAATCAGCTAACAATAGTATGATCAAAAAAAAACAAGAATCATTTGGGTTTCAGGTCAGTAGTACAAAACAGAGTGCTTTTATAGAAGAAAAAAGTTTTCTTAATCTATGCAATGTTTTTCTTAAGTTATGCAACTATTTTGATTTAAAATCCTAGTTCTGTACTTAAAATATTGGTTCTTTACAGTTCAGAGTTCTTGTTCACTTGTTACTACAAACTGCTGGTGTAAGTGCTGACTTGTAAGAACCTATACAGAAATGATTTTGTGCCAAGAACAACCAAGACTAATGTAAACTTTATCTTTGTTTTCAGTCCAGAGGAGCTTCCTGTCCATGATGCAGTGATAGAAAAGGTAAGTCCACTGTCCTCCAGGTTTTACTAGTAAGTAAACATTTACAGATTTACAGCTTTTAAAAATATAAATCATTGTGAAATGAGTTGACGAAGCATTATCGTGATTTGCATTTCCAGAGAAGCTCATTCTAAGTCCCCTAAGAGCTGAGTCCTTGAGGCCACATTAACTCACCCGCAGATCCCTGGGGGCCCCCTTGTTTTTACATTTGCTCCTGTCAGAGAGTGTGAATATTCCTCTCCCATTATGTGAAGGAAATGGAGCTACTCAGGAGCTCACAGCCAGCTCTGCCCTGAAAGAGTGAAAGCTGTGCTCCTGTGCCAGGAGCTGCCTCCAGCTGTGCAGGGGGATGGATGATGTGAGTGAGATGGTGGCACTGCCACCCAGGGGTGTGCTGCTGTCCTGAGGAGCCTGGGCTGCTTTGGGAAATGGTGACAGATATCCTGCTGCCACCATGGTGTGGTGACCTCCCTTGCAATGCTGAGTTGCTGAGCTCTATTGCACATCTGTATTTCAGATGTGCAGCTCCTGTTGGCAGCTGCTGCAGGTCCTGCTCCAAAAATCTTTCTGCTGCTGGAGGGTTCTGGAGAAGTAGTTTGACAGCTGATGTGTTGGAAATGTGGAAAAATAATGGGGAACTGAATTTCTGCTTGTCTGGGCCTAGTTACTGTTGGTATTTCCCCTTGGCCAGTCGGGTCTGTTGTTACCTCCCAGATAAATCAAATCAGAAAACTCTATCAAAGTATTTAAAATTGTAAGTTTAGGTTATCCCTCTTGACTGCACAAATCAGTAGAATACCTGAAGAAAGGATGAATTTATTTATTTCAAGGCAACTCAGCTCTTTAAGTGTTAAGAACAGCAGTGCTTCTGAAAATTAATTATTTTGTGCTTCAATTATATACTGAAGCTAGTAAGAGATGCTTACTGTGAAAGAGTAGAACTTGCAGGTCTCCTTTGTTTCGCCTTGGTTCATGTGTGGTTTTGCATACACAGCCTGAAATAGTTGCCTTTTCTCCTGCCATGTTTCATTACATTTAATAACACAGTGAGTGTATGTATAATTTCATTTCCATCAGAAGGACACAGCAGGGGGGTGAGTCTCTGAGCAGAAATATTAGGCAGCTTGCAGCTACTGTGCTAGATGTGTTTTGAATTCTGATTCACTGTGGCTTTGTAGTTAGCCTTAAATTATTTGAGGGAAATAGTGTCTTGGTTTTCTGTCCCAAATTCTGTTTGTACTGTCTCTAAGTGTCAGCACAGAAACTGGATTTATGGAGTCAGTGTTAAATTACAAGTCTAGTGTGTTTTAATAATCATCCAGTGATGCTCCCGCACTAGACTGGTTACACTCCTGATGGTATCCTGACCTCTGCTGGTCTGAGCTTTATCTGGCTCCTGTCACAATCTGCAGTTTTCAAGATACCATCCATAAGGATTACTGTGTTATGTTAATGCAGCTAAGATTAAAAGCTTTCTGCACAATGCCTTTTGAAGTCACTCAGCAGAACTATTTATGCTTTCCTCTTGCCTTGTGAATTTTAAAAAAATATTCCTAACTCAAGTTTTGATGTAATTGGCAACTTATGTAAAAGGTTGGTATCCTTGTGAATTTGGAATCTGTTCTACAGGCACAAAAAAACCTCTTAGGCTGGGATTTCTCTGTGTGTGTCTTTTTGGTCATAATACCTTTACTCTGCATTAACAATGATAATTACTCATTTTGGTGCTTCATTATTTTGCTGCACATTTGATGCCTTAAATGCATCAAATCATTGTCCTACATCATGAACTACTTAACCTTGGCATGAATAATCCAGCACATCTCAGATAAGACAAGGGGAGGAAAGATTTCTGGAGGAGGAGAGGAGACAGAGAACTGACCTCAGGAAATCTGGAGTCTGGGTCTGACTCTGATTTTGAAGTTCTAAGAAATGTTTTGTAAGTAATTTTCAGTTAGGTTTTGTCATTGTTTACTTGATTATGAATTCTCTGGGGAGCAGTTCAGCAAGTTCTGGTTTTGTGGGAAGTTTCTGCTGAAGTTTTGCTTTAAGCTCAGCCCCTGGCTCATGTGCTCTCCAGGAAGGTGGAGCGCTGCACACTAGAGGGGTGCTTGGCAATTTCATGATTTTTGTGCTTTCACTCGTGCATTGTTTACTGACATGAGAGTAGAAACCAGCTCTGCTTCAATTAGGGATTCTCTTACTCCCAATGGCAAAAATGCTTCAAAGTGTAAACTGTATTCAGAACAGATAAATGGATTGTTTTTCTTTTTTTTTGGTGACAACTACATGGAACCTGTCTGAAAGAGCAGTAGCAGCATCCCTCTGCTCTGCCATGAGCTGCCTCAGATCTGTCTGTGTTTTCAGTGTTGTACCTGTTAGACATAAAAGTGAACATAATTCAGACAGGGAAAGAAATAGCTAAAAGTTTTCAAGAACTGAACACCAAAGTAATTGCTATTTTGACTACAGCAGCATCACTTGAGAATGGGTAAATTGACACAAAGACATAAAAGCTTGAACAAACATACAATTGAATTGAGCTTATGGCTCAAAAGACCAAAAAATCTTGAAAGCAGATCAAACATACAAACAAAAAGACTGTGGAAGCAGATAGGGTTTTATTTTTCTTACCAATTACATGAACAACTTGTTGAGGGCAGAGACCTTTCCTGACTTCCTGTTATTCCTGCAGGAATAAAAACTATGCCTAAAGAACAGCTGCTTTAGGAGATGTTGAAAATGCTGATTCCTTAAAGGGATTGCAGGTGTGAAAGAGAATCAAGAATAGTGTTGTGACATCTTGGAAACAATAGGTTTTCTAGCCTTCCTCTCTAAAAAGTCTTAAAAAACGTCTTTTAAAAAAATATAAAAGGCTTTTATTTGAGATATTTAATTTGAGATATTGCCCAATACAGCCAGAACCTGAACAGGAGTGTGGGCAGTTGATTGCAACATGAGTATTTAGATAATGTTGAAAGAGTAGAGGCACTGCTTTTCCCCATTGCATTTTTATACTTGTGTCAGGCTTACAGAATTTGAATTCAAATAAAAAATAACTTGAAAATCCAAACCAACTTATTTCCACGATATTTTGTGGACCTATCATACATAGTTGGGGTGGACCTAAATTTCATCAAGTTATACTTCTGCTAATGCAAGGCTTTGGGCTCCTGGGTTAAAGAAGTTCAGGAAGTTAAAGAAGCCCATTGTATTGCATTGGGAGCCAAGAAAGAATGCACAAATTCTGATGGGTAAAAGCTAGAAGTAAAATTAGGATTCTGTTGGGACAATAAGTAGTGATTTTCTTTTATATTCCCTCCAACATTTTGGATGCAATTGACTTTATAAATACTTAATGAAAATATTTATAACATTTCAGTATCCTGCAGAGCTTTAAAATTAAACTTTTACATTTTTACCAGATTGAATCGCTAACCATATGAATATCCTTCCTGTCTTTATTAATCCCTGAATTTGAAGTTGGAGGTAGAGGGACTGTCCTTTACAATAAAACTAAATATTATTTTTTTTTTATATTCAACTTCGAAGAGAAAGCAGTAGACACACACATTCATTTTTTTGCTTTAAACTTTCCAGTCTGGATCTTCTGTTCCAAAGCTTTATGAGAGAGTTGAAACAGTCTCATTAAAAACATGTAACAACACACAGCTAACTATTAACTTTGTATTATAATCAGAGATACTTTGCAAAATATAAAACTGGGCTGTAAAAACAAGTGCTTAAAGTCTTATCAGTGGAGGTAACAAAATACAGATTTTTGCTTGTGTGATGCCAAACTGCCTTGAAATTCATGGGCTAAGATGGCTGATTCCAAGTGCTTGTTTGGTTCCCAAATTTCAGAAGCTGATGCAACTCTAGCAATATTTTTATAGACAGAAGGGCACTCTCTAAGGTAGTAGGGCTGTTCTTGCCAGACTACTTAACGTAACTATTTGTTTTGAGAAAATGGGGTTTTGTTTTGATTTGGATTCTCATTCTGTCACCTTGTTACTGAAATTTTCTTGTCAGTAATAAAATTTAAGCTAATAGATCTTCAGAAGAAATCCTTGATGTTAGGTTACAGGGTAATTCAGCTGAAAATGTGCCTGAATTCTTCAGGAGGAGAATTATGGCAAGGATTTCTAGCTTTTAGTATCTAAAAATTAAAGCTTTATTCCCAGTTCTGCTCCCGCACTGTCACTCTTGCATGCATTTGTTTTTGTTCATTTTTAACTGTGTGCCTTTTAAGAAGGGATGGTTTGTGTGATCACTAGCAAACAGAAGCTAATGATGTTTAGGGCAAGTCTGGGAAAGAAGATCCTTTCAGAGACAACTGACTTTTAAGTGGCTTGCAGGAAAAATTATTTCCCTGAAAACTAAGTGTAATGACAAATTGAAGTTTTGTTGGTTTGGGTTTGTTTTTTTTTGTTTTGTTTTGTTTTTTTGTTTTTGTGGGTTTTTTTTGTAACTTGCCAAATATATAAAAAAGAAACTTCTAGAAATCTTGTACTTAACCTCCTCTTATAAAATGCAATTCATTCATAGTGCTGAAAATACCAGTTTCAGTTTCTGCTTGGTTTTTTGTTGGCTGATTTTTTGGATGTTTTAAATGAACTGATGAAATTAACTATCTGTTGTTCTCAGATGACTGAATAAAATATTCATAATGCTCTGTTAAACTTTTTCTTGGTTTTTTTTAAAAAAAACATAGACAACTTTAAATGCATTTGTTTTGGAGATACTAAAAATTTCTAATTCCTTTTCAGCAAAAGAACCTTGAAATTGAAAGAACTACAAAATGGCTTAAGATGCTGAAAAGCTGGGAAAAATACAAGAATACTGAAAAGGTAAAATTCTGCATGCTTTTGTCATTGGCTGTCATTTTGGAAAGAATGCATACCCTGAAATTAGATTGCCTGTGTTTGATATCTGGAAAACAACAAACCACACTGAAAGCATAAACTTTTTTGTTTTTCCAAAATGCAGTAATAATAATAACCCAATAGTAATTACCCAACAGAACTGGTGATCAAATGGAAGGAATTGTGTTCGTGTGTGCAGAATAATCTGTGGACAGAGTGGGTCATGTCAGGTGTGCCATTAGGTGCTAAATACTTTTACTTGATTTAAAAGCTAGGTGGGGACTTCCATGTGGGCAGTTTATTTGCTGCAATTGTGGTCTTGGCCATCTTAAAATTATGGAAGAATTTCAGCTGGAAAAAAATTTGCTGGAGGGGCTGTACTCCCAGCACTGGGCTCTGGGAGGGTTTTCATAGTGGGTCTTGTGGCTGTTTGGTGGATAAAGCACAGAATCCCAGATTCAGGTTCCTTCTACTCTTCAACACAGCTTAAGACTTGTGTTAAGCTGTTTTAACACAAAACAACACAAGCAGACTTTGCATTTTCTGTTGGGGCTTATACCAACTTTCTGTTGGTGTAGCTCAGAATCTAGAAAGTCCATTTCCTTAAAATATGATGTGAAGGCATGAAAAATATTTGCTTGTTCCCAAAGTTTTACTTATAATCCTTTTTGTCCTGCCATTTTCTCTGGGAGGAGAAATTAGGGGTTTTAACTGTTGTGACTTTCTTTTTTTTGTTAATGTAGCAGTGAGAAGATTTTAAGATCCAATATGTTCCCAAGTCAAAGGGACAATAAAACCCTCCATAACAGCTGCTTTATTTGCAAAGAGAATGTTAAATATGACCTTTCAGGTAACCCAATAACCACGTGTCATCTAAGCAGCAGTGGTTGTGCTCTTCAGCCATTGGTGACATCAATGACTTAAATAAATAATCCTCTCTTCACCAGGCATGCAGAAGGTCTGGCAGATCAGCTGAGCAGAAAGAGTTTCAGTTCATGTAACAAATTATAGGCTGAACTATAAATAGGGGCTGGAATAATTCAATATGTTCATAAAGGGATGAACTTCCCTTGAGGCTAGGAAAAAATTTCACTCATTGTGGAACTCTAGTGAAGCACATGAGGTTTAAAAAACAAGGGTGTTTTCCTTATGCTATCTCACCTCTTATGTGGTAAGTGAACCAGAAGATACACAATAAAGAATCAGCTGACTCCTCCTGAGCATCCAGTGGAAAGTCAGGCATTATTTGTCACTGTTCTTTGTGGAAAGCCTGGCCATGTTCTCAGAGCTGTGCAAAACTCACAATTAAAGGCAGTTTTTATCTGGAAGTGTGTTGGAAGAATGCACCAGCTTTCCAAGCTCACATTCTTGAAGCATGGAAGAAGTAGTTGGAGGAACAGTTCCTGAGTCTTGTTTTCTGTCTTTACTTGACTGGATAAAGTGGTTAATGTTAGAGGGAGGAACAAATTGCTAAAGAAAATGAACAGCCTGTGTGTTAGAAGACTCACATCACCTGACACTGCTATGGTTTCTGTGCAGTCAGGCTGCTCCTGAAATGAGTGTTCTTTAGAACCAGCACTGAAGGGAACATTGCAGGAACAACAACAGTAGCAATGTTACAGGATTATAGATTATAATTGGCTTGGTTTTGGAAAATGGCACATTTGAGACATGATTGGGCTCTTAAGTAGGTAGGAAGGGAGACTCAGAGCAAGTGATGCTCCCAGGTATACAGCACATATTGTACAAAATACAGGACTTTGGGTAGTCTGTTTGTGATGAGCCTTCATAATATGCAGCTAAGAGAGCTTTGCCTTGAAGGAATCTGTTCATACTGTACACATACTGTAAATAAATCCATATATCTGATTCCATTATCCCAAACTGTCATATGCTTAATTGCAAACTACAGTTTTCATTCAATACTCTTGCAGAGCTGCCTATAGGCTGCTTTATTTTTTTTCTTTTGTCATAACTTCACAAAGAAAATGAATGAGAAAACATTAACACAGTGGTGAGTGTGTGTGTGCATTTGAGATGCTTCACTTTACATCTTCTCCTGATCTTGACTGCTGAAGGATATATATATATACAAGTATAGATAGATGGATGGATGGATGAAATAGATGAGGCATCTGGAAACTTCACACTGTTTTCCCATTAGAACTCTTGTGCTAAACTTAGTAAAAAAGATGGTATGGGGAATAGAGATTAGGAATGAATGCCCATGAGGAACTGGAAAAGGGTGGAAGAATTGTCATATTGAGAGCAGAAATGTGCCAGGCTGTACCATATTTGGGTAATAGTTGAGAGGTAGTGAAGTGTGATGTAATAAAGTGAGCCCATGTACAGCTCCATAACAGTGTAGAGTCACAGAATCATGGAATGGCCTGGGGTGGAAGGAACCTTATTGATCATTGAGTTCCAGCCCCCTGCCATGGGCAGGACCACCTTCCTCAGAGCCCCATCCAACCTGGCCTTGGAACCTTGCTGGGATGGGGCAGCCACAGCTTCTCTGGGAACCTGTGCCATGGTCTCCCCACCCTCACAGGGAAGAACTTCCTTATGAGGCAGGTTTTCTTGTCGCCTGTATGTCTTTGGCCAAATTTGATCTCACCAGGGCTTCAGTTCTCTAACTGATCCTTGACTGCTTGGACAATCTCTCTGTGTTCCTCCAAGCTGCCTGTCCTTGCTTCTTCCCCATAAGCTTCCTTTTTCTGTTTGAGATTGTCCAGGCACTCCTGTTCATTCATAAAGGCCTCCTGGTGCTTTTGTCTGACTTGCTCTCTGTGTATAAAACTCCTTGATTCCTGTGTGGTTATTTAGGCATCTCTTTCAGTGGAGTTGTCATGGTTCTAACAGATACCACTCTGAAGTGTGTGACTGCCCTTGTGTCTCTGCTTGATTGATATTTGTCAAAATAAAGCTTTCATCTCCCCATCAGTCATTTCTTATGCAGGAAGTGTCACAGAGCAGCAAAGTTTGTGTTTCAGCATGGTCCTTCTCTGTTTGTGCTTTTATTTCCTATTTGTATTCTACTGCTTAGTAGTTCAGGGTACAATCAACCACCCACAGATAGTAAATCCTTCCTGGCTTAGTATGATCATAACTTTCAGGAAAGATTAAATAAAACTGTTATATGTTGTATTCCCATTTGAGTATTTCCACCAAAGTATTTCTGTCTTTCCCTGTCTGCCTTCATCTATCTGTGATTGAAGTTGCCTAAATTGAAGGGGAAAGGAAGAAGAGAAACAATCAGGGTAGCTGCCATTTCCAGCTGCTCTGGCGTTCACACACAGTGCAATAATCAAGTCTCCAGTTCGTTTGGAGTCTGAACACAGAAGCTTAATGAAGAACCCTCTTTGCATTCCCGAGATTTTTGAATGAGATGGAGCAGCTCTTCTGTTTGCACTTTTTCTTCCTTTTTTGCAACCCACAGAAGCTGAAGAACCTCTAAAGGCAGCAGCCTTTATAAATATATTTTCTTTTCATTATAAATATACTTTCTTGTGAGACTTCAGATTTTAATTCTTATGCTTCTCATCACGGATTCTTTTTGAGGTGGCAGAGTCCCTTTGCTACTTGTGCAGCTCTGCCTGACAGCTGAGAGAGTTTTATTTTCAAGAAAACCAAGTTTATATCCTGCAGGAGCAGTGAGGCCAGTGCTGTGTGACAGTGGCCTCATTTCTCTTTCCAAAAACCAATTGGGTTTGTGAGCTGGAGGGATGGGGGCCAGGCAAGACAGGGGAGGTTGGTGGTTTGGAGGTTGGTTGTTTTCCAGGTGTTTTTGCAGGTTGGACATTATGGCCTTCATTGAGATGATAGCTAAATTTTTTCTTTTGTTTTCTTGCTTTATGAGGATTTTAGTTCATTCTGTATCTTGAATGTATTTATAGTCCAGTTTGTTTTTGCATGAGAAGCTCCTTTGAATTCCCATGTGATGGGGCCTCATTTAGTGTCAGTTTCTCCTACCTACTTCAGGATCAACAATCTTATTAATAATTGCAGGAGTTTGACTGCTGTCCTTGTCTGAATATCTGCTTAGATGTGCTACAGAATTTAAACCTGTATTTTATGTATCCTGTGTTTATGTAATTATATGTATTGAGGATCACTTTCTTTTCTTTATGTCCTGTGCTGATGGGAACATTCCAGATCCCATAACCTCATTCTTTGAATGATAAATGTTTTTATAGATTTGTTTTATCTGAACTCTGAGTTTATGCATTTGTGCTTTGTTTTGAGTGATTATCTTAAGAAAACCTTAATCTGCACAAATAAAATTACTCAGTATTTCATCTTCCCAGAAGCAGAAAAAAAAATTAGCTTCCTGTGATTTCTACTTTCTGTTTTAATTATTAATTCAGAGTGAGGAGGAAAGTAGATGAGAGTTCTGCAAGTATACAGATACAAGCAGCATTTCTCAGCAGATGTTTTACCTGGTGTTACATAAGGACATAAAAGACAGCAGAGGGCACTAGCATGGTGCTTATGGTAAAGACATTCAGCTAGCTAATAACCAGTGTGCTCATTTGAATTTTCTTTAACTGTTTGGTGACTGAATGATTATCAGAAATGAATTTTGCAGTAGAGTGTGTGTGAGTTCCCCCCTCACTCCCCAAGATGCAGCACAGCTGTGTCATTTTCACAAAACTGCAGCATTGCACAGGGTCACAGAAAGGTTGGGCTTGGAAGGGGCCTCTGGAGGTCACCTGGTCCTGCACCTGCTTGAGCTGTCCAGAACAATGTCCTGATGGATTTTGAGATTTCCAATGTTGGAGACACCACAACCTGACTGGGTGACCTCTGCCACTGCTCTGTCACCCTCACAGTGAAAAATGTTTCCTGATGTTCAGAGGGAATCTCCAGTGTTTCAGTTTGTGCCCATTGCCTCTGGTTGTGTGAGTGGGCACCACTGAACAGGGCCTGGCTCTCGTTTTTGCACTCTCCCTTCAGGGTGCTGCTACAGACAAATTGATCAGATCCCCCTGAGCCTTCTTTGCCCCTGGCTAAACAGTCCCAGCCCTCTCAGCCTCTCCTCATGGCAGAGGTGGTGAAGTTTCATCATCTCTGTAGCCCTTTGCAATGTGTCCATGTCTGCCTTGTGTTGAGAACTGCTGTTGTATTTGTGGGGTCCCTTGTGGCAGGAAGGAATGATGAATCTACCTCCATGTTCTCAGAAGGTTAATTTATTATGTTATGATACTATATTATATTGAAGAATGTTATACTATACTAAAGAATACAGCAAGAATACTTATAGAAGGCTAAAAAGATAATAATGAAAACTCCTGACTCTTTCCAGAGTCCCAACACAGCTTGGCTCTGATTGGCCAATGAATCAAAACAATTCACATGAAACCAAGGAAACAATCACCTGTAGTAAACAATCTCCAAACACATTCCACATGTGAGCAAAACACAGGAGAAGCAAATTAGATAAGAATAGTTTTCCTTTTTCTCTGAGGCTTCTCAGCTTCCCAGGAGAAAGTCCTGGGTGAAGGGATTTTTCAGAAAATGTGGCAGTGACAAACTGGACTCACTGTGCTGAGCAGAGGGAAAGGATCCCCTCCCTCAGCCTGCTGGGAATGCTTTTGTCTGGTGCAGCCCAGGATACCACTGGTCATCTTTGCTTCAAGGGCACTGCCCCAGCTCCTGCTCAGCTTGGTGTCCACCAGGACCCCCAGGTCCTTTTCTTCTGAGCTGTTTCCTGCCTGGTGACTCCTGGAATGTTCTGGTGCCTGGGGTTGTTCCTTCCCAGGTGCAGGACTTTGCAGCTCTCCTTGTTGAACTCTGTGAGGTTCCTGGCAGCCCATTTCTCCAGCTTGTTAACATCACTCTGGGTGGCAGCACAGCCCTCTTGGTGTATCAGCCACTCCTCTCAGTTTTCCATTGGATATGAAATTTTTCACACTCGTTTCCATGTTCTTGTTTGTGCACTGGAGCCCATGCCAGACTGAGTGACATTTCTCTCTTCTGTATCAGACAGTGAAAGTCTTTGGTTTTGTGTTCTGCTGAGTCTGTAGGCAGGATGTGGTAATGACTTGGGATGACTGAGAGCTTTTCCTCTGCCTCAATAAAAGAATAGGTGGAACAGCAGAGTCAGTTGAACACAGATCTAAAATGGTTTGCAAGAAGCTGTGAATGTTATTTGGGTTTATTTTGCCAGGTAGTGCAACAATTCAGAACTTAGCTACTAAAAATGTTTGCTTTCCTCCTGTGGTTTTTTTTTGGCATAGCTGTAGTTGGCTGATGAAACTGTTCACCTCTCTGTCCTTTCTGCTCTTTATAAAGTTATGTTTGCAACTCACTTTTCAAACTTTTCTGTGAAAAGTGCTTCCACAGTTCTCTCTCAGTTTTTACTTACTGCTTTAAGGGCTCTTCTAGCATTTGGCTGTTTCAATATGGGCTGTGCAGAAGATGGGAAAATTGTAAATGCCATAGACTCCTCTGAAACTAGAGATTCTTCTCCTTCAGTTTTATTTTCCAAAAAAACCCTGAACAACTCCTCAGTTTGGATAGATTGTTTGAATTGTTTTAATTCTGTTTGGGTAAGAAGGTATTATTATAAAAGCTTATTTCTGGCCTTTTATATCTACCTGACCTTCTTGCAAAATACTAATTTATACAACGACAGTAGTCTTGAGAATTTATTTTTCAACCAGTTGTCTTCATTAATAACCTTTTGTTCTTGGAGACATTTGAAAATGAGTTACAAAATGATAATTAGCTGACAAAAATATTTGTTGTGAAGATATTCTGTTGCTGCACATGGGTCTGAGGAATAAAACTACCTGTCACTGAGGACATAGATCACTGCATGTTTTTTCCATAATTTTCTTCCAAATTTCCAGAAAAGATATTGCAAATTTGGCTCATTCTGCTCTCCAGTAGACAGGCTAATCTCTTCCTAGGATGACTCTGCAGTTGGGGGTGTTTGGCTTTCAAAAGACTGAATTTTCTTCTCTCCCATAAGCAGGTACCTTGTGTCTGGGTTGGCCCACACTGAAATTCTGTGTGACCTGAGCTCGTCTGCAGAGGAGGCTGCTTTGGAGCTCTGTGTGTTGTTCTTCATCTTTACAGGAAAAACTCCACTGGCACAGCTGTGCTCTCACTGCAAGTGTTGCTGCTTTAGCATCCTTTGTATTAATGCAGCAGAGTTTTCTTCATGAAGCACATTTTATTTTTTTGTGGACAGCCTCTAGGATGGCTGTTGTATCTTATACAAGTTTATGTTTTTCATCTGAAAAAGGAACAAGGGAAGAAACTCATAACCTTACTTGTGCAAGAGTTAGAGATTCTGCAATCCAGACACAAATCCTTGCTGGCATTAAAGACACCTTTAAAGCTGATACATTCCAAATGGCAGCAGGGTTGGAAATACACTGCAACGAGGGGTTCATTAATTTCCCAAAACTGGAGATGGGAAATATGTGAAAAGAAAAACAGTCCTGTCTTTGAGGAGGACATTGCTTTTAAAATATTTCTTACTGCAAACATAACTTTTATAAAAATGTTTAAAGAAGTGGTAGCTTTGTCAACTGAAATTTTTAAGGTCTAACTTCCATTGTGGGATAAACATGAAGAAAAAACTGGAGAGTTGTTGTGTGTGGTTTGTTCTCTTTTAAACCTAATTGTCTCTCTGTGTAATCATTAAAATAATGGTAAAAACATAATTTCAGAAAGGCTCATTTGCCGTGTCAAAGTTGCCTTTTTAATTTTCCTTGTCTTAGATATGTCTTCAAAAGAGGATAACACCTTTTTGGGTTCTTTTGTTGTTTTTTTTTTTGCAAATGTTTTAATATGCATGTAGGAGATTGATTATTAGTTTAGAAATAGAATGTGAGATCTGTTAGCTTTAGAAATGGCACATTCTGGTTTTTGTGGTCTCACAAAAGATTTGTTTCCTTGCACACGTACATTTGAGCATACTGTCGCAGTTTTAGAGAAATTCAAAAATCAGTTCTGCTTTTGGGTTTTTACTGATAATTTTTAAAGCTTTGTGATTCTGCTGCTTGCTTTTTTGCTATTTCTATTTATATACTGTAATTACAGTGAGCTATTTGTGGCTTATCCTGAAATAGTGTTGCTAAGAATCTGATTTTTGGGATCTAAATTACAACATTTGCTGAGCAAAGGTGTTGCAATTTGGATGGACCTTCCTACATGCAAAAGTCCTGGCTTGAAAACATCACCTGGGATGGTTTGGCCCATGTGTCTGTTTTGTCCTTGTGCCTCTGGATTCTGGCAAGAGGTCCCAAATGGCATTGCTGGACATGTTGTTCAAAATACACTGGAACACTTTGTCTCCAGCAGGTCATCCCTTTCCTAGGGTGCTTGGTGTAATTCCATCTTTCTCTTCAGTATATTGTGCATCACTATTCCTTTTACTCAGAGCATTGTAAATTGGGCTGAATTTTTACCTTCTTTTCTTTTTTTGCAGTTTCATAGGAGAATTTATAAAGGGATCCCACTGCAGTTGAGAGGGCAAGTCTGGTCTTTGTTGCTTGATGTTCCAAAGATGAAAGAAGAAATGAAAGACTTTTATAATGTGAGTTTGTAGAATTTCTACTTAATATTAATTTAAAAATATCAGATACTAAAGCTAGAGGCTTTATTAAGCCTTTGCTGTTATGCAATGTTAAAAAAATTAATTAGATATTACACTGCACTCTATTGCTTGTTTTAGCTAGGAAAAAGGCTGTGTATTCAAGAGCTGAGCTGAGGTTGAGTCTCAGTAGATGAGGATTCTTGAGAAAGAAGATCGGTGTTAGTATTGATGTTATCTAAATTTTGGTGTCTATTGCCTTCCTCATATTTCTTGCTCTTTAGTCTAACAGGCTGCTTTTTCTGACTGTTATATTTGAAGTTCCTCAATAAGACTGGTGGGAGATCCAAAGGAGGTGAAACAGGTTATGCTGAATAATGTAGTTGTGAGAAAGAATGCCAAGTAAAATTAGAACCATTTAAAAATAGGTGAAATAATCTTCAGGAATTATTGATGTCATCTATTGCTCAATGCAAAACAAAGAAATGTTTGTAGTTCAGACACAGAAGTAGAAAGTTTCTTCCATCATTATCTGATTTATTTGTTATACTCATCTTGCTGCTCTCTATTTTTCTATTTCCTGAAGTGATACTAACACTGCTCACTGCAAGTGTCACTTACAAACTGCACACCTTAAAGTCAGAAGGATAATAAATGTTTATTGTAGGTCAAATAGCTTCTTTCAGTTCTCTTGGCAGGGGAAATTTCATTTCTTAACCTTCTGTCCTTCCTGTTTCTCAAACTTTTGCTACCTTTCTGTTCTTTCTCATGTGAGAGATTGCAAGGGCTTAGGGTGCTTCTTTTCCTATATTCCATCATATCATAGGTGTTTAAAACTAGAATTTTTCCCTTTGCTGCTTTTCTGTCTGTCTGGGGGACAAATCATTCTGGGTGTTCAGTTTAAATAGTACTGAAAGTGCACATAGCTGAGATTGTGGTTAGTGTTGTGTTGGTTCAGTGACTTACAAGTAATCCCTCATGTGCCTAAAGTTTCTGGTTGTGTTCTGCAGACTTGATGCATGTTATTGTTCCCTGTTTGATCCCTTTGTTATTATCATTTTTTACTTTACTCTTGTATTCTTGCAGCCAGAGTCTGTAGAGTTTTGCCTTTTGCTTGTCTGTGGTATTCTCTAATAGTCAGAAGTAATGTTTTAAAAATACCCCTATTGAATCCAAGGTCTTGCAAACTCAAATTTACTGACAGAAGTGAGAGTAAATGAATGAGAGTCAAGAGAAAATTATTGTAAGTGCAAAAAATAAGGTGTCAGTCTAAACCTGTGCAGGTTTCATAAGTACTCAATTACAAAAATGGATTTAATTATAAAACACCAAAGCAAGTGCTAAAGTAGACATATTCTACAGCTAAATTAGATTAGAACAGAAAGACAGAGGAAATTACTGGAGAAATGTCCATTATCTATATTTAGATAATAACTGGCAGCTATGTAGCTATTACTTCTGCTAGAGAAAAAGACAGGAGAAGTATGAAAACCAAACTAAATCATTTCCTTAAAGCTTAGTCTAGAGCATTTGCATCTCAGGTCCTTGTTCCTGAGTAGCAAAATTAATTTTCTTTCCCTAGTGCTGTGCCTGCCTCAGACAATAAGAAACTTAAAATGCTGAAGCAGTCTTAAATATGAGTTGTGAATGATGTGTCCAAAAAATGTGTATTATGGGATGGGTCTTTGTGCATCTTTAGTCTGTGGCCGTTTCTGACTCTCAGAATTTGTACATGTCCATGCTTATTTTGGAAGTTGAAACTGTAAATCTTGTGAGTTGCTATTCTGTATTGTTTCAAATCCCGTGATGACAATTAATTCAACACAGCTGTACAGTCAAGCAGGTTTCTGCTCTTTTAGAGTTCACAGTTTTAAACCTCTGTTCTTTACTGTACTCCCAGAAATTGAAGTACCAAGCACGAGGGTGTTCACCAGATATTCGGCAAATTGACCTGGATGTGAACCGCACGTACAGGGACAACATCATGTTCCGGGACAGATACGGTGTCAAGTAAGTCGACCTCCATCTCCCCAGAGACTTCAGCCTTCCTTTGGGTTTTGTATTCTCCCATTATCTAATTCAGAACCAAATAAAGCAGTATTTCTGTAAGTGAGCATTTATTTACAACTATAGGCCATAATGCTTTTGGATTTCTTCAAAATGTTTTGTTTCGTTGTATTTTTTTGCTGCCACTAGAGGAGGAATATTAGGCAGCTGTCATCTTTGAAAATGCTTAATAGTGAAAAAGTGGGGATGCAAATATGAGTATTGTTGCTTGCTTGCAGCATCAGCACCCTGCTGAGAAGAAGAGGGTATTTTTCCCCTTCTGTCTCTGTATTAGTTCAGTTTTTAATCTCCTTTTCTTGCCAAGGCAGATTTTATGGTAGTCTGCTGTTCTCACAAAGTGGTGCTCAGAGCTGTGGGCTTTAATGTGATAATAAAAGCAACATTTTCTTCCATTATTATTCTAGATATTTTGTGGAAAAAATCCTGAATCAGGGGAATTTCTTTGAAGGCAGTGAGGAAGGAGCACAGAGCAGGGACTCCCAGGCTGAGATGGTTCCATGCAGACAGGGCAGTTCTGATCCAGGGCTGGCAGTGCCTGTGCTGCTCAGGCCTCTCTGTGTTCTGTGCACACATTTTAGATGTCAACAGGAGCTCGTTGCCTCTTTACTTTGGGGTTAACACAAGCAGAGCCAGCTCCAGTCCCTGTGGCTGGTGTAACCATGCCCTCAGAGTCCCTTTAGCCTTTGCCTGCCTAAAGCAATTTCACACTTGGAGCAGATCTCACAATTACTGTACATATATTATGCATTTCCAGCAATGCCTCGATGAAAAATTCAGAAATCATTTCACATAGCAATGAAATAAAGGCCCCTGGGTGAGTCAATTGCTTGTTTGACTTTTAAGAAGACTGTATGTCTTTGAAGGTTCATTCTTTTACAGGTCTTCAGTGCTACCATCTAGTGTAAATAATGCTGAAATCACTGTTACTCTGTGTAGGGAACTGTGAATGAGATTGAGCTCCTATGCTCAGTTCATGTGGTCAGCTGAGGCTACAGGAGGTTCCTGTGTTCATGGGGACCTGTTAGTTTGTCACTGTAAAATGAGGCTCCAGATTAATGGCTAGTACCTTGTTACACTTTTCTTTGGTCTCTGAAGAATGGCTAAACTTCAGTTCTGCCAGAGGGTGAACCAAAATGCCACAATGCAGGTGTTTTGATAAAATTCTCCAAGTATAAATCCTCTTCCCTTCCTCTTATGAATGAAAATAAGCACCTTCTGGCTTATGCTTTCTTTTATTTAGCCTGCTAATATCTCTTTCCATTCATTGATTAGTAACAGGGAGAAAATTTCACTGGAAAGAAAAAGGACAATATGCAAAACTCTACTGTTAAATTTTAGCAGTTTTATTGTAGATGAAAACAGGCATTCAGGTATCCAGATTCTCTTCTGAACAGGTGACAAAAAGTAGCTGTGAGTTTAAAAGTTGATAATGAGAGCTCTCCACTGTTACTTTTATACACAACTTGGAAAGAGCAGAGTGGTGCTGGCTGGTTTGGTGTAAAATGAGGCTCCAGCTTAAAGTCTAGTACCTTGTTACGCTCTTCTTTGGTTACTGGAGAATGGCTCAACTTCAGTTCTGCAAGAGGGTGAACCAAAATGCCACAATGCAGGTGTTTGATAAAATTCTGCAAGTATAAATCCTCTTCCCAAAAGAAAATAAGCACTTTCTGGCTTATGCTTTCTTTGATTTAGCCTGCTGATATCTCTTTCCATTCATTGATTAGTAACAGGGCGAAAATTTCACTGGACAGAAAAGGGACAATATGCAAAACTCTTGTTAAATTTTAGCAGTTTTACTTTTAGATGAAAATAGGCATTCAGGTATCCAGACTCTCTCCTGAACAGATGACAAAAAGTAGCTGTGAGTTTAAAAGTTGATAATGAGAGCTCTCCACTGTTACTTTTATACACAACTTGGAAAGAGCAGAGTGGTGCTGGCTGGTTTGGTGTTGTTTGGGGCTTTTTGCCTGGCTACCTTCACAAGTTAGACTGTTTTGCAGAAAGCTAGGGACCTCTACAAAGCTTTTTTGTAATTCTAGCTCTGAAGTACCCAGAGATCAGCAGAGGGCTGAGCACAGGCTGCTGAGCCAGAGTTAATATTGTTTTTCTTCAGTTTGACAGTAGCAGTCACTAGAGCAGACTTTAATTTCAGTGCCAAGATTAAGACACCTTTGTGGCTGCTTTGTGTATTTCACATCTTCACTTCTACATCTCTGTTTGGAATCAGCAACAGCTGTTAGTGTTCTGCAAGCACAGACAACAAGTTTGGGGAGTTTCAATTTTGGCATTCAGAATAAATCAGTGTTTGAAATGTCACCCGTGCAATGTTTCACTTTACCTGTCTGTAGATGTGTCACTACTCTCTTCTAAAGTATATTGACACTTTTTGAAACATTTCAACATGTAAACATCATAAAGGTGCTAATTACAAAATAGGCTTCAAATCAGAAGCACTTATTGTTGTCAAATGTGGTTTATCCTGTTCTTTAGTGCTAGACAGGTTAAATTGGGAAAACGTTTCCAAAATGCAGTTCACTACTTCTATGTTTTTCTGTTTTTACAAAAGATAATACTATAGTTTTTTCATTTTCTGCTCTTATTTCTCCAGGCAACAATCTTTGTTCCATATTTTAGCTGCATATTCCATATATAATACGGTAAGCTGTGTTCCTTCACACTTAAATCTGGTTTCTCTAAATGTGCTCCAAGATAATAACTTGCATCTCTTTCTCCCTAAAAACAACAAACATTTCAGAGACCTTTCGAAGTACATAGAAAAAAATTATTTGTTGACATATTTTGAGTAAATAAAGCATCTGAATTATGAGTTTGATTGGACAGACTGAACTATGCTTACAACTTGTAATAATAATGAATTTGTGCTGTGCTGGAGTGTTATGTGACTGATATTTCCCCCATTTTATTATCTGCCTCCCTTTCATTGGAATGATGAGGAGGAAAATACTGCAGAAAGATGCATGGTGGAGTCCACAGGTGTATTTCATAACCTGAAAGGTTAAAAATAAATGGGAATTAGTTTAAAAGGTTGCATCTTTACATTAGTGCTTGCTCTTGGCTGCAGTCCTGAATGGGATTTATTAGAGTGGGGTTCCCAGACTGTAAGGGTTAGAAGCTTATGTATTTGGTAATGTCTTTTGACTGTGCTAAAAATAGAAGAGCAAGAAATGCCTTCATGTCCACATTTAACTGTGGTTTAACTGTTCCCTCATTCCTTGAGCCCATTTTAAAAATTTCTGTACATCTTCCATTTTATATCCATCTGCAGCTCCCCAGAAGTCAATATAAAATATGTTAACTTTAGAAGGGGAAAGAGAAATTAAAGCATATACTTGAATTAAATACTGGTTGGTTTGGATTTTTTCAAAAGTTCTAGGAAATGTAACCTTTCTGTCTGACCTTTTCTGCCTTATATAAAATATTGGACTGGTATTTTCAAGTTGCATGAATAATTATGTTTAAAATCAATCATCAAAGTGTAATGATGAGATTATTGCAGTGAAGTTTTTATTTTGCACTTCTTGTTGTATTTTTTAAGGTGCTATTTTGCACTTCTTGTTGTATTTTTCCTCTTAATGTGTAGTAGTTCTTCTGCTTTGTTTTTATCTCAAGAACAAAGTTGTGTTAAGAACTTGTAAACCTGAAAAATCTTACTCTACAATTAAGTAATTTTCCTTACAAATACTTTATTGATGGGGTTATCTTTGCAGCTGAATGATAGTGACAGCTGGTTCCTGCCATAAAATCCAAAATTAATAGCAGAGGAAGTACCCAAGTTCAGTTTTGGAACAATAAATTTTTTTCTTTGGGTTCGTTACAGTTGCTTGCTATTGGGCTGCTAAACTTGAGCAAGTTGAAAAATCTTGTGTTTATCAGATGATGCTGTGACTGTAAACAATAAAGCCAGATACTCTCACCCTCCATAAAACTCTCCAAATTGCAACTAAATTATAAATGCATCCATTGGACAAAAAGATGATACAGTAACTTGAAAATATTAGTACTGACCAAGGATTTTGTTCATCAGTAGTGAGTTCTAATGAGCAATCAATACTTCCAGGTTACTTTTCAGTTGGAGGGCTGTGCATCATCCCTTCTATCTATCAATATTTTTAATGTTTAAATATGAAGTGTTTTTGGTGGGAAGCTTTGCCATCAGGACAGGCATCATCTTTCCTCCACTAACTCAAGGGAAAGCTAAAAGCTCATGGCTGTGAGGCTTCTGTTTTCAGCATTTTAATATTTCCACTGTATGATTTCCAGGAAGTTGGATACTGTCAGGGAATGAGCCAGATCACAGCTTTGCTCCTGATGTTCATGAATGAAGAAGATGCCTTCTGGGCCTTGGTGAAACTTCTCTCTGGTCCAAAGCACGCTATGCATGGTATGGAGTTCCCTGTCAGTGTATTTAGGTTTCAACCTGTCTTATTTAAGCTGTAAATGATTTGAAAATGAAACTGTTCTGTTCTGATTGGTCAAAAATAAAATATAATGAGAGCTTTATACTTGGGGGAGGTATTGGATGTTACTGGAGCTCTCATCCATAAGAGAGAGAAATGGTTTTTGTATGTGATATCTTTCAAATAGTTCTTAATGAAAATCAGATGGTTTCCTCTTCTCTTATTCTCTCAGGGAATGTAACCACTTGAAAACTGGTTATGTAGACATCTATATAGTAATAAAATAGTAGTGGAAGCCTAATACAGAATGTGTAAAGTAATATTGCAGCTGGGCTATTGTTTGGCAGGACAGGAATCTACAGTAAAAATTGGACTTGTGTCTAGGCATGAACTTCTCAGTTTCACCTGCACCTCATACAGAATTTCCTGCCCTCATGGTGTTGTTGCTCTTGTGTTATTGGTGGTTCTCTCTTTCCATGCCAGATTTAGTATGATCTATGCATATTCCATGGCTATTGGTATGGAACATATCCAGAAATTCCAAAATATTTGTGATGTTGCAGTTCTGGTGATTTACAAAAGCTGTGCTTCTTGGAAGCCTGCAAAAGTAAATGTCATCCAGAACTCGGGCTTTTTAGCAAATTTCCAACAAGCTCTAGCTGCTTTTACCTGCTGAAGAATTTCTCATTCTGTGATATCTTCCTTCCCATGCTTTTCTTTGTTCCTGGATGTTCTCCACCCCCAAAACAAAGGGATAGTTTTTTATTTTGCTGTTTACAGTTCTGCAGAGCTATAGACTCAGGGGGAGGGAAAAAGTGTGATCTGATGTCAGTGTCATAAATGAAATTTTGAGTCCATCAAATCTCAAAAGATTTTCTTGGAGCTTTACACAGTGATAACACAGACTAAAAGCATCTTACAAAAAAAATCTATAGATTTCATAATAATCCAAACCAAATCTGTGTAACTGCAGCCATGTAGAATATTGACCTCAAAGCCCACAAAAAATTCTTACTTTCGGGGAAGTAAGTAAAAATCTGGTCCTTATTTACCAAATCATGTGCATGATAAACTAGAGGATAAACACAAGCAGATGAATTGCTTGCAGATCTCTCTCCTTCCCTCCTTTATTCCTGTCACACACCTGTCAGGTGATGGGAGAGAAAGGAGTGAGCTTTGAGTAGCCCAAGGCTTGATGTGCTTCTCCACAGAGCATATGAACCTTTGTGTCACAGCTTTATTTTACACAATGAAACTGTTTTGGAGTGCCTGTTAGACAATTGTGCATTTATAGGGGTTGATAAAACTTTAATTATAACTCATATGTTCCCAATTTATCATTTATTAAATGTTGCCAACTAGTCTTTGGTTCTGCTTTCAGCAGGTTGGACCAGATAATCTCCAGAAGTCCTGTCCAACCTGGATTTCCTGTGATTCCTGGAGTTTATCTGTTTTAAATGTCACTGTGCATCTGTAAATATCACTGTAGATTCTGGAAAGGAAACTTTCTACTGAGAAAGGAAACTTTCAACTCAGGAAGCTGACTTAACTGATGTCATATTACAGTTTGCACTTTCTGTGTTCTTCTTTGGGGAAAGTAGCTTAAAGCACTGTCTTTAAAGCTTAAGGGATTTCAATTCCAAATTGCCAATATCCATGAAGAAAAACTTGTATAGTTGCACTTGATGCCACTGACCATCAGATAGTTCTCTAAAATGGGCAGCTGCCTATGGAAATCATGGGGGTGGGCTAAGAAACTCAATTAGAATCCTATTGACAGCATTAGGATGGTTAAAAGCTCCTCCCCACAGACAAGGTTTTTCTTTTTTTTTTTCAATTTTACCTGTGATACAGCAACCTGGAATACTTTCTGGATGCAGCCCATTAGCCAGACTAATTTCTAGTATAAAACTACTTGAAATCAAGAGATGAATTGGTCCTTTTTGGTATTTCATATTGTATGGAAGATGTAAAGTCTCTAGATGATAAAATGCAGACATCTGACCCTGAAAGTTATCTGCTTTTTTGGAAGCTCTTTCCATTGATCTTTCTATAGTCTTAAAAATTCAGGATAATGAGTTGGTGTATGTAAATGTAAAAGAGCAACCTTTCATGGAAAAAGAACCTTTATTGTTATTGTTGATGGCTAATTAGCTTTGATGTAGTCACTGTTTACAGTAAGAAAAAACCAAATGCCTTGCCTGTGTTATTGAAATTTCCTAATATGCAACCTGACATTTAAATATTGTAGAATTTGCATTTGTATCTATGCAATATTAAACTTGTGTGAATCTGAGGTTTTAAATCTTGTGTCTTAGTGACTGTGCACTGAATTGCACAATTGGAAATAGAAACACTTTGCTTTTTGGTTTAGGACTTTAGTCACTTTTTTTTTAAGTTGCATGGCTGCTGTGGGTCTGTACTTGTTTTTCCAGTTTTCATACTGCTTAAAATATATTGGAGTTTTTTTTAACTTCAACTCTGCTGATACCTCAGGACTTAGAGTTTTCCATGTGTAATTACTAAAACAATTAGATGGGTTTTTTAATCCCCTTTGTTTCAGTTGTGTGAGCTCACGGTCTTTGCTTATAGGATATAATCATGATATTTGTCTTGCTAGAATATCCCTCTTGTCTTTTTTATGGTCTTTTCTTCAATGCAGACAGTTCAGTAGATGCCTATGTTGCTTGCTCTTCTATCATTAATTTTCTGGGCTATAATTTCAATTTTAGTGGGTGAGGGTTGTGATTCTTTGTTTTGGTTTTCTTTTAAAGAATAATTATAAATGTGGTTTCCACATGATCTTATATTGGTTTGACTAATGTAGGACTGATGGATCTGCTGTCATTTGTCATTCTGATGTAGTATTTGTCACTAAGGGAATGTATTGACTGTAGCTATTTAGGCAGGAGTATGTGCATATCTGTATAGAGACATCAAAATATTGCTATGAATATCTGTTCAGATGCAGTGGTCTTATAGAATGATAATGTTCTTGGAGCCTTAATGGCTTTTTTATATCATTTTATAGTACAAACACCTGTTAAGTGTCAGCTTCTTCTCTTAGGTTTTTTTATTCCTGGTTTTCCAAAACTGATGAGGTTTCAGGAACATCATGACAAAATTCTGAAGAAATTTTTGTCCAAACTTAAGGAACATTTGGTAAGTATTTATTTCACTATGCAAGCCATGCAAATTTACAGCTTTCTACCTCATTTCCGTTCAGGTGAACCCACTAGATCAAGAATAAGCAAACTTCAGGAAAAAATGTGAAGTTTTAAAAGGCAGAAATGTTGTTTTTTTATTATAGACAAAGTTATGGTGCATCTTGACAAAGTTATGATAAAATTAGGTCATAAGAATTATTAATTTGGGTGTCTGTCTCGCTTTGGACCTCTGAGTTAAGGACAATGTGTGGTTCTTCTATTTGGCCTTGTGTGAGCTTCTGTAAACAAACTGATGCCAGAACATTTTATCAGAGGCTTTTTGTGTGTTTAGCTTGTGGTTGGTTCATCTATGGACAGAGATGACTTTAGGACCAACCAGTTTAAAATTCTATTGAAAAAATAGAATATTTAAAATAGAATATTTATAATATTATAAATAGATATATAGAATAGATATCGAATAGATATTTTAAAAAACCTTTGTAAGAGATGTTTATGGTCCATTTAAAATACTTCCATTTTCATGAAGCTACCTGTTGAGTTTTATTTATTTTAATGCTTTTAAATTGAAAATAATATGCCTTTTCTTAAATATTGGTTAAATATTTAATATTTAATTTAAGATGGAAACTATTTTTCTAATGGGAGAAAAATGCCCTTCCAGTAGGCATCAAGGATTTCATTTTACAGTACATTGGTACTGCCAGAATCCATCTCCAGTTCTTAAAAAGTAGTGTAAGAGATGCTCACTTGCAGCTTCTATCATTTTCCTCATCTCTTCCTGTGAGTGTGTCACTAAAATGAGCCAATGTTGCCTCCTGAAAGACAAAAGTAAAGCCTGCACACAAACCAAAGGGATTTGGCCCAATGTTTATTCAGTGTTTGTATGACTGAGTTCTCAAATTTGGTGCTGAATTTTTGGCAAAGCCCACATCAGTTAAAATTCAAGATTTCTTAGCTTTTCTCCTTTTAGTTTGGCTTTTCTCCTTACTGTGCAAAGGACTTTGAAGAGCTTCAGGAAGCTGCAGAGAAGCTTTAGCAGCCTTTGAATTGGTGTCACACCTGATGGATTTTCTGTGCTCTAGGGGAAATCAGAGCCCTTAATCAAGAAATAAAATTTCTTTAATAGCCTGCATCCTGTTTGACACCCACTGGTCAAAGAATTTGGTTGTTTTCCAATAATTTCTGGTGGATATGTATTATAAGGAAGTTCTTTCAGCCTTGCTACAGAGACATGAAAGACTTAATGGACCCAAAGCCTGAACTTGGATTGCTCCAGAATATTGATTTATTTTCTTGAGAGAGGATTTTATCCTCTGCTACCTCTGTCCCAAGAACATGATAAAAGTCTGGGATGTATTAATACTTCAGCACCTCCAAGTGCATGTTCTTCAGGTGGTGAAATTAATGAAGAAAAGCTGTAAAAACCAGAATTTGCCTCTGTTGGATTGAAGTAACAGTGTCTCATATAGTAAAATTAATTATTTATGGTGACTATTGAGTACATTAGCCTTAAGGGGAAAATGTTTTTTCATGCAGAGTGCAAGGCATTACTTGGATTTTTGAAAGTATTTTTCAACTTGTGTGTTGTTTGCAGGACTCCCAGGATATGCCCACCAGCTTTTATACAACCAAGTGGTTTTTCCAGTGTTTTCTTGATCGAGTGAGTATATTTTTCTTTCTGTTGCTGTTTTTAATTGTGACTTGGGGCAGACTGTTTTCACAGCATTGCCTGATTCTGTCATTGCAGACTCCCTTTACATTAAGCCTCAGGATATGGGATATCTACATACTTGAAGGAGAGAGGATTCTCACTGCTATGTCTTACACAATTCTGAAACTGCACAGAAGTAAGAAAGAAATCTGTCAAACCTTTGATACCTAAACAGAGGTTCAGCTAGTTTTGTTCTCATTTTGTGTAGCTTGACCTTAATGTGTAAAAATCTTAAGTTTCCCACATGCCTTATGCTGCTTCTGACAGATATTTTTCATTCCTTATGCACAAAAAGTTAAAAATCTCTGCTTTATAATTTTGTGTGTGTGTTGTGGGTTGATCTTGGCTGGATCCTGGTGCCCACCAAGCTGCTCTATCCCTCTCCTCTCCAGCAGAACTGGGGGAAGGAGAAAACAAGATGGACTTTTCTAAACACCAGGACAGCTGTGGGGAAAATTAACTCCATCTCAGCTGGGCCCAGTGCAGTGTGATTGTCAAACAGAAGGATTTATTAGAGTAAGAAAGTTATTTGGACCTGAAGTCAGTTGCATTACTGACTAAACAGTGGGGAAAAGTGTGGTAGTTTCATGGTCTGGAAATGGCTCCTTTAGTCACAGGATTTAAATTAATGAAAAAACACACAAAGAATTGAGACTGTGCCACTAAAGGCTGAAAATCTACCAGCAAATACCTCAGCAATGAGGAATCACCAGTCTGTGCCACTTTATACCATTGTTTGTCCAAGAATGTAATTAAAATCCAGAAATTCTCTAGTCTGGCTTATGTGACCTTCTCCTTCATCTCTTGACTTTGGGTGAAGTAAAATTGGAAATTTTGAACAGAACTGTCTAAAGCATCTATGCCTGGTTCCCCAAAGTGACTTGGCATCCTAAGTTCCAGGGACCCAAAAGGCTTTTGAGGGTGGATGGTGGCTTTTCAATAGATTTGAGCCTTTCTAAAGCTGGTACTTTGTAGCTCAATTGTGAGACACCTCATCCTGTGGGACTTGGGCTTTTTTAGTGTAGTCATTTGACTCTGTGTAAATGCAGAGGTCTGTGTGGGGCCCATAGAATTAATGTTTTAATTTCCTTGCTAGTTTATCCTTCTTGAACTGTGCTGATGCTACCTCAGTGTCTCACTCATGAACAGTTTGTTCATAAACAACTTTGAAAAATGGAACAGGTTACCTTCTACATTTTTGCACTTGAGAAAGCTAAATGTTTGGAGGCAAATCATTAGGCTCAACATTTTGGTTTCTCTTCTTTATTTGCAAATAGATATCTACTTGATTTTTTTTTTTTTATTCACCGCTCTTTTAATGGGAAGACCTGAGGAAAAAGTCTCAGTGTGGATTTGCTTACTTAGCAAGTACCCAGCAACTTCCTCCATGATCAAACACTGAGAGAACCTCACGGCAGCAGAGGAGATGAGAGGGCTGGCAGAGAAGCTGGCAGAAGACAGATCCTGATTTGTTTTCCAATTTCTTGTCTCTCCTCAAAAACATGGATGGTATAGCTATTCAGTCAGTGTCATTGTGGAATACATGCCAAGAGCATTTTTATTACAGCACCAAAACAGGTTTTTTTTATGGTTTCCATATTGAAATGATACATCTGAAACTTTTGATGATGTACAAATGATGAAAAAAGAGACAGATATGCAGATATAGCCTTGAAATCCACATGACCTTACTGCTGTGTAAAAAGGGAAACAAAACTAATCTGATAATTATAAAATGACTTTCAAAATATGACCTGAATTTTTAGAGAGCCTGAAGCAATGGTTCTGAAGTGTGAGCTGCCATCATCATTTCATTGGGAGTTAATTCAGTTGTGACTGAGGGTGCTGTAAATAGGGATTTTTAAAATGTTTATCTGCTTTTCAGAGCTCCTGATAAGAGAGATGATGTACAGATCCACAGCACTGGTTCTAAGTAGAGGATACAGGCTGACAAATAAAGGCCTGAAGCTGTTGGACATGAGAGGGCTGAAGGAGGGTGACTTGTAGTTGGTTTTCTGAAGGTGCCCCTTTTTGAAAAACACCACCCTAAGTAAAGAATAATGTGTAGAAAGGATTTCCATGGTGACTTGCAAGTGAATTTTTAATGTATTTTTAGATCTCCAGTTGTAGAAATCTGTTATCTGCCTAATTAACAAGTGTTTTTCATTCTACTTTGAAAACAAAAGCACCTCATGACTAAAGTACATTTTTGAGTGTTCATTATCAAGATGTCTTAATCTGTAATGTAATGTTTTCTCCTTATATAGAGCATCTGATGAAATTACAAATGGAAGAGCTTGTAGAATTTCTGCAGGATTCTTTAGCCAAGGATTTCTTCTATGAAGATGACTTTGTAATAGAGCAGCTCCAAAATTCTATATCAGAATTGAAACGAGCAAAACTGGATTTACCAGTAGCTGGTAAGAAACTTGCAAATGTGCAGAGTTAGATATTTGGAGTTATTCACACATTGGTAATTTTTTAAATGTTAATTAATGCTGTTGAAAACTGTGCAAATATTTTCCTCTTCATCACTGCATAGATTTGAGGAGTTTTTACCCCAAAATATTTTACAGTGTAAAATCACCACTTTTCCTTTCATGAATATTCCTCTTCTTTTGGTGTTTTGTTTGCTGTTTTTAAGGTAATGGCAAAGCACTGTGAAAAGTACCATGTTCTGCTAATTTTATTAACTTGAGTTTATAAAACCTTTCAGATAGAGGATCAAATATCAAGGTTTTAAAGTGTCTGAAACACTACATTGTCTGGGAATCCAGACTGTTTTGTAGATTGAATAGATGTGGGCCAAACTTCAAGTCAAATAGCTTCTTCTGTTTGTCAAATCCAGATTTTTAGTTTTTTGCAAGTGATAGACTTGCTGGGTGTTTAGTGGAATAGTTTTCATTATTTCTTTTTAGCCTTTGTGCTTTTTGGTTGCAGATGAGAGATGGTTGTTTCATGTACCCTTACTTATGAAATGTACAGGATCTCTTCAAGATTCTATTCTTTTTTTCTATCCCTATCTCCATAGTCTTTAATTAGAATTTTTCTTGTGATTACTCAGAGTCCTTTTACTTTATCTTTGCTAATTGTAGAAAAGTATGTGAGAAAACGTTTTTTAAAAAATTCCAAACATGGCAGAATTTACCTTGAAGTAACTTTATTAAGTTGCTGTGGTTAGCTTTCAGAAGTTAAGAAGTGTCAGAATAAAGGTTGCCTGTGTAGCATTATTGTGATAATTTGTTCTTTCATTAATGAACTTAATTTTTCTGTTTCTGTTGACATTATTCATTGCACGTAGTGTTGGGCTGTGTCAGAGCTCCTCATCACAGGTAAATACCTGTTTTACCTGGTTCTTCAGATCTGTTCCTATGGGGTACAAACACTTTCTGTGTATTTGTTTCTTATTTTGCTTCTTCTCAGAGTTCCCATTTCTATTGCTCCCTATTCCTTTGTTTTTCCCTGTTCCTGAATTTCTGTACAATCTCTCCAGCAGAATTTCTTCCACCCACAACAGCTCTGTTTTCATCTGTTGCTTCCCCTTTCTCACCACAGCATTCCTATTCCACCGTCTCTCCATCCTTTTCCCCAAGCTGAGTTTCAGTTTTGACTTTCTCTTCAGCACAAGTTGTTCTTTGTCCCTACACCTCAGCCAGGTGCTGTCTCAGGTGTCTGGTGCAGTGGGTGACAGATCTGAGCAGCTGTGTCCCTCAGCATCAGTGCCACACCACCATGGTACAAGGAGATAGCTCACAGGAGTCCTGTCTGTTCAACCCTAAATACAGAATTCTCCATGGTTATGTTTGACCATTGAGGGGGTTACCCCAACAGCTTCACTTGGCTGTAGACACACAGATGTTTTTTATGGATGTGGTAAAGTAAATTTCATCAGTGAAAAGTTCCACTTGAAACTGTGGTAGGGGGAAGAGTTGGGAAAGATTTTTGTATTTTGCTACTTGATGAAGGTTGTATATCTTCCAGCCTAGAAAATTACATGCAAATAAGTTATATTGACATTTTCTGTGGAAAATACAGAATTTACTGGAAATTTTCTTGATGCAGAAGGTAGAAAGTCTGTTCCTAACTTGCTTGTTTTAAGGCCTTTGTTTTGGTAGAACATAAAGTGTCTTCAAATGAAAGTTTGAGAATACTCTGGATTTTCATAGAAAATTCAAGGAGGATTTAGGTGACATAAGAGTCACCCACCTTGTGACAGAAAATGTGAGACTCACAAGAGTGTTCTTGTGGATACCAACAGCAAGGAATGGTGACTGTCTCTTCTTGCTGACACACTTTGGCAGTGGGATGCAGTTGTTTGGTTTCACACTATGCACACTTAGGTGTAACCTCTGATACCATGAGCTGACAGCATGCTCAGTGTTTTGGGCCACATTGGTTCTTAATTTTGGTAGCTAAAGAAAAATCAGTAACAAAATGTCTTTTGTGTGTTGGTTTTTTCCCCCTGAACATGAAAGAGAAGGTTTAATTTTAAAACAGGAAGAGCAAAGCCAAAGTGAAATGTACTTTGGTGCTGGAATTGAGCTTTTTCCTTTTTTATTTCAGGTTCACCTGGGCAAGCCTTTCTGTGTGGTGTGCTTTTGCTAGGGGTAGAAGGGAACATTATTTAGCCTTTCACAAACTAAAAATAAGATGCCTTCAGCCTAACCCTTGGGAATCTAGCTGATTTGTCTGCTCTTATTACTTGAGTGAGGCTGCCTCATTTGTTTTTGGTATGAATTTCATAAGTCTCTGGTTTTATTTTTTAAAGTTTTCTGCACTCTCCTAATTTTGGTTATATTGATCACTGTCTGCAAGCAGTATTCTTTTTCAGGTTTTGAACATTCTCTGGACATTCAGCTTTGTGACAGGATATCAGGTGCCCTCCTCAGCTGGGCAGAGGAGAGAAAACAAAACAAGATTTCTGGATCAATATAAGGACAGGGAGAGATCACTCAGCAATTGCCATCATGGGGAGAACAGACTTGACTTCAGGAAATTAATTGATAATGAATTTAGTTAAGTCAGAGTAGATAGTGAGAAATAAAACCTTAATAAAAACCTTCTCTCACTCTTCCCTTCTTCATGGGTTCAACTTCAATCCCATTTTTTTTCCCACCTCTCCTTCCCAGCAGCACAGGGGGCAGGGAATGAGGGCTGTGCTCAGCTCATCATAAATTGCTTCTGCTGCTTCTTCCTCCCAAGGTGAGGACTCCTCACACTCTTCCTTTCTCCAGGGTGGGGTCCCTCCCACAGGCTGCCAAAACCTGCCCATGGAACCCCCATTCACGTGTCTGTCTGCTGTACTCTCTTTACTACCTTGAAGTTCATTGTTTTTCTTCTGATTTCATCTAAAACATATGAAACTATTAGAGGTGATACAGCCACAAAAAATACACCGCCTGCTCATTTAAGTATTCACTGTAGCCTGAGAAAATAATGTTTATTTTAGTTTTCTCATCTGAAATCAAAGTACTCCTTCCTGTCTTGTACTCTTTTTTTTCACTGAGCAAAAATTACACCTTTAAGAGCTAAAGTAAAAATGCATGTTAGGATCAAGAAAAAAAAAATCTTCATCTTGCAGTTGCATCAGTATCAGTCATCCAGGAATAGCAGTGAGCTAATTAAGCTCAGTGGAATTTTCCATCTGGCATCCTTTGTTAGGCTGTATAGATTTTCCTGCCCTAGTAGGGTAAGCTGCAGTAGGATATTAAAAGAGGTAATAACTTTTGTGTTACTTTAAAGTGGATGTCTATTTATGTCTGATGTAGCTTTCTCTGGCTCACTTCCTCCATGGCTTCTCTCCCTGAATTAAGGAGCTCCTTGTTCCCTTCAGAGCACAGAAGGAAGGGACTTGTTTAATATTTTCTTTCTGACAAAGCCCTTAAAATGCTCAGCCAGAAGAGATGGGTGTTCAGGAGATCTTGCTGATTTTGGGTGTCAGTGATTTGCACTTTTTTTACCATGGCTGTTTTGCATAAAGAAGGCCAAGGATTTTTCTTCCTTTCTGTGCTGATTTCTAGTTTTGTGCTGACCAGTGCAGGGTAGCCCATAACAACTCCAACCTGCAGAGGGTGGTTTGGAACTCTGATGCTGTTCCTGCACCCCAAGGTGAGCATCCCTCTATTCCCATGGCTCTGGAGACAGGGGGCTGTGTGCTAAGCACAGCTCTGGCTGGGGAGCTGTGGGTTTGAAACCTTGGAGAAGGGAGGCTGTCACAGCTGTACATAAAAACTGTCCTTGAGGGTCTCTGACACAGCCTCAAAAAGAAGAAAAGGCATTTGGTATTTTGTGGATTGCCTGGAACATGGTGAAAGATGCCCACACAATGGCTGGTTCCTGAAGAACACTCTCACCTAAATCTGTGTGACTTTACATATTCTCCTGGAGTCAGATCCAATGTAAATTCAACCATCTCTTCCTTAATTCAAGGGTGATATTAAGACCATAATGTGAAAAGTTTTCTTGGTATACACCACCGATTCCCAGAATTCCTTGATGCAAATTCTTTCCTTGTCTGCTATTTAAAACAGCAGCTAAATTCTATAAATGCTCACAAGATATGGATAGAATTTCTAGCTTTGCTGTAATTTTTTCCTGTAGGACTACATGAATAATGCAATGCTCAATAAACAATATTTATATATGGATAGATTTTTATAGTGTCTGACTTTAATAAACAGAAGTGCTTACCAGTGAAAGTTCCATATTAAAGATATGTTGCTGAAAATAGTTTATTAATCCAGTGTTTTGTAAACAAGACAGCCAGGCCCATTTTCAAGGTGTGAAGCCCCTCGGGTCTCTTCTTGAGACAGTTTCTCACCTGTGTTTTAATATAAGGGTCCTGAAAAGGGTGGGCAGGGGGCTCCTGGGTTGATTTTTTATCACTGAAAGTTTACCAGACTTTGCAGCAGCTGAAGGCATGAAATCAAAGAGAAAGGTCTTGTAGCTTAATTTTAAAGCAATATTGGCAAAGTTGGATTCTTACTGTGTCCTTGTGATTAACACCAGCTTTAAACTGCTGTTCTTTTAGTTTTCCCAATCTTTTCTGTATTTAGGGAAAACTAGCAAAGTTTGAATCTTGCATTTGCCGTAAATTTCAAAATGTTTATCTGATATTTATCTTTGAAGTTATTAAATTTATTATCAGCATCTTTTATTCAATGATCTATTTTACACAGTCATCAGTGATAGTGTAGAAATGTATACTACCTCAGTAATCTATTAAATAATGTGTGTTCTCTCCTGTTAATGAGCCTTCTGGCAGGCAAAGCAATAGAAATATGTAAATCAGCTTGACTTTCCTGTTTCTGATGGTGTCTTTCTTCTGGTTGTGTTTTGTTTCAGAGGAATTTTGGATTTTTCTCTTGTACTTCAGGAATACACAAGTAGCTATTTCAGACTATGCATTTCATGCTTTAAT